GGCCACTACATAATGGCACATAAAACATAAGAATTTATAAAACTTTATCAGAAACAGTTTTATGACTTTTACTTATTGCAGTTAGAATTTACATCGTGTGGTGTCAGTATGGCAAATAAAAATCTTGGGGTTTCTCAGAGAGCTGCATTTTTTTTTTTTTTGTCTTGCCCTCAACATTGTTGCAGTTGGTATCCAGCTCTCCGCTGCCTTTGGATTTTTTTTTCCTTTCTGTCTAAATATCGCAACGAATGATGGATATTTTCTCATTAGAACCCATTTGATTCTTTTATCTTACCGAATGTATTGCCTTTAAGCAGGATTGCTGGTGTTTTGTTGTTAAYCCACGGAACAAAGAAGAATGGAAGCGCGCAGACAGGGAGGATGTTTTGTTGGATGCGTGCTCGCGGTGCTTTTGTGTCARTCTGCCTTGGCTCAGATACGATATTCAATCTCAGAAGAGGTCAACGAAGGAACTGTGGTCGGAAATATAGCGAAGGATCTGGGTTTAGACAAAAGCATGCTGAAGGAAAGGAAATACAGGATCGTGTCTGGTGGCGCGTTAACKCCCTTTCACGTTAATCAGAACGATGGCGTGCTTTATGTGAGCAGGAAACTCGACAGGGAAGAACTGTGCGAGCAAATCARCTCTTGTTTATTAAATCTCAAAACCGTGCTGGAGAACCCGCTGGAGATTCACTATGTAACTGTGGAGGTGCAGGATATWAACGATCATTCTCCCAGTTTTGCAGATAAAGAAAACACGCTGGATATTTCCGAATCCGCGTTACCCGGGGTGCGCATTCCGCTTCCCCCGGCACGAGATCCAGACGTCGGACCCTTCTCTGTCCAGCATTATAAACTCAGCGCCAGTGACCACTTTCGTTTAGAGGTTAAGGACAAAGGAGAAGATGGAAAAATACCGATTTTAATTGTGCTTAAGTCTTTGGACAGAGAGGCGGCGCGACGTCACTCGTTAGTGCTGACTGCGGTGGACGGAGGGAAACCGCCCAAATCCGGAGACATACATATTTTAATAAATGTTTTGGACATTAATGATAACGCTCCCGTTTTTTCTCAAGATGATTATACAGTGAGTATTAATGAAAATGCTCCATTAGGTACAGTAGTTTTACAATTAAACGCGACTGATTTTGATGTAGGACCAAACGGAGAAGTAGTTTACTCCTTCAGCAGTATTGTTAATGAAAAGTTGCTGAAGCTTTTTGAAATAAATCCAACAACTGGTGAGATAACTGTAAAAGGTAACATAGATTATGAAGGAAAGGATAAATATGAAATCGAAATCCAGGCTTCAGATAAAGGTCTAGCTCCTCTATCTACACAAAAAAGTGTGATAATTAAAATAGTTGACATGAATGATAACGTACCGGAAATTGAAGTTACGTCATTTTCAAGCTCGGTTCCTGAAGATTCCAGACCAGGAACTACAATTGCTCTGATCAGTGTGAATGATCAGGACTCTGGTCTGAATGGAAAAGTTGTTTGCTCTATTAACGAGGAAGGTCCTTTTTCCTTATCTCCATCTTTACAAGATAAAATGTTTTCTTTGGTTACAAAATACCCTCTAGACAGAGAGAAAAAGTCTGATTATGACATTACTGTAGTTGCGAGAGACGCAGGTGTGCCTCCTCTATTTTCTGAAAAGACAATCAGAGTTGTGGTGTCAGACGTAAATGACAACAGCCCAGAATTTTTGTTGAGCCCGTACGCATTTTATATTAAAGAGAACAACGAACCAGGAGCCTCAGTGTTTTCTGTTAAAGCGTCTGATCGAGATGAAAACGACAATGCGCACATTTCTTATCATATTAAAAGAGATAGAACTGAGGAGAGTAAATTAGCCTCTTTTCTCAACATAAACTCCGAAACAGGAGATATTATGGCGCTGAAGAGTTTTGATTTTGAAAGTCTGAAAACTTTCCAGTTCCAAGTTGTGGCCACAGATTCTGGAGCTCCGTCTCTGAGCAGCAACYTGACAGTGAACGTGTTCATTCTGGATCAGAACGACAACGCTCCAGTCATCCTGTATCCAGTCAGCTCCAACGGTTCTGCTGAAGGCGTGGAGGAGATTCCCCGCAACGTGAACGCAGGACACTTGGTGACTAAAGTCAGAGCCTATGACGCTGATATAGGATATAACGGCTGGCTGCTGTTCTCACTGCAGGAAGTCAGTGACCACAGTCTGTTTGGTTTGGACCGCTACACAGGACAGATCAGAACACTTCGCTCYTTCACAGAGACAGACGAGGCTGAGCATAAACTGCTCATACTGGTCAAAGACAATGGCAACGTGTCCCTGTCAGCAACAGCTACTGTCATTGTCAAACTGGTGGAGCCCAAAGAGGCTTTTGCAGCTTCTGATGTGAAAAGTGCAGCAAAAGATGAGGAGGACAATAATGTGACTTTTTACCTCATCATCACTCTGGGCTCAGTGTCAGTTCTGTTCCTCATCAGCATCATCGTGCTGATTGCAATGCAGTGCTCCAAATCCACAGACTATACTTCTAAATATCTGCAGGAGGCTAATTATGATGGGACACTGTGTCACAGCATCCAGTACAGATCTGGAGACAAACGCTACATGTTAGTTGGACCCAGGATGAGTATAGGATCTACTTTAGGACCCGGAAGTCATGCAAACACTCTGGTGTTACCTGACAGGAGGAAAACTRCTGAGGAGGTAAGAGGCAATTGTTAAAAAAAGTTTGTTGTCAGTGCAAGTGTTGCATTTTCTTTAGAAAATTTACAGCCATTTGCATTGTTTTAGGGATATCTGTGTAATGCATTCTGTTACACGGTTTAGCACCTGTTGGGTTACAACATTTGTCTTGGAAATTATTTCAATTTACAGTAGCCCATTCTCATGCCCCCCGCATCAAGGTATTGATATTTCTTGTAGCCAACATTCACGTCACATAAATATTTGCACTACTTTTGTACCACAAAAGCCACTCAAGAACAAATTAAAAATAAATAAATAAATAAATAAATAAATAAATAAATAAATAAATAAATAAATAAATAAATAAATAAGCTTTCAGTTAAATTTATTTATGTTGCGTTTTTCACGGAAGTAAAAGAGGCTTAATTTATGAAAGCGAGTTGATGTCGTTGTCCATGGTGCTGATACTTTCACTGCTGGACAAAACGCTTTTTTTCCAAAGAAGCGGCACCTAACAGTGGCGTGATTTTCAAACGACTTTTTTTTTATCTTGCTTTAGAATCAGTTCATGTATTTACCTCTGAAAGCTTTGTGTTCAACTCATTGCGAAGCAATTACTTAAAAGTAAGCTGACTGATTTTTTTTATCTGTTTGACCTTTTTTCATTATACGACAAAAAACACTTTTCTTTTTGCTTAAAATCTGCTTTAAACCGAGCATTTATAACTGTTATGTTATGTGGTGAGGGTTTTAGTCGCACGGTGTCAGTATTATAGAACAATTGAGCAAAGGATTTGCTTTTCGTCACTCAGTCAGTTTTGGTTCGGTCTCTTCATATCCTGGCCAGTCTGAAGTTATGATCCGCATTTTTTTATTTTGTACGGATGCGTTTGTCTTGAGAAGCTGTTGGATAATCCAATTAGGAACGCCATGGAATAGATCACTCCAAAACCTTGCTTCTTTGAGTGAGTACTGAGGGCATTTGGATAAACAATGGAACAAAGGAGAGCAGGGAACCGGGCGGGTAGACGCGCAGCTCGATGTGTGCTCGCGGTGCTTTTGTGGAGCGTGGCCTCAGCACAATTAAGGTATTCCATTTCTGAGGAGGTCAGTGAAGGAACTGCGGTTGGAAATGTAGCAAAAGATTTGGGATTGGATAAAAATGCGCTGAAAAGCAGGAAGTGCCGCGTTGTTTCCGGAGCTGCGGACCCCGTCTTTCATCTGAACGAAAACGACGGTGTTCTCTATGTGAGCCGAAAACTCGACAGAGAAGAGGTGTGCGCACAGAACAGCGTGTGCCTGATAAACCTCAAAATTGTGTTAGAAAACCCTCTAGAGGTGCACAACGTTGGCGTAGAAGTGCGTGATATAAACGACTACTCCCCCAGTTTCCCGGAAAACGAGAAGACACTGGAAATCTCAGAGTCCGTGTTGCCCGGAGCCCGATTCCAACTAAAACCGGCGCGGGATCCAGACAGCGGCTCTTTCTCTGTGCAGCAGTACAAACTGAGCCAAAACGAACATTTTCGCTTAGAAGTGAGGGAAAAGGAAGATGATGGAAAAATACCAATATTAGTTTTACAAAAATCTTTGGACAGGGAAATAACACGAGACCTTTCATTAGTGCTGACCGCATTGGATGGAGGAAAGCCCCCAAAATCAGGAGATATGAAAATATTTGTAAACGTTTTGGATGTAAATGATAACACTCCTATTTTCTCAAATAATGCATACACTGCTACCCTCGCTGAAAATGCTCCTGTAGGGACAACAGTGATACAAGTAAATGCTACTGATTTGGATGATGGTCAAAACGGAGAGGTGATTTATTCATTTGGCAACAGTGTGAGTAGTAAAATATTTAATCTTTTTGACATCGACCAAATAACAGGAAAAATAACTGTTAATGCACCTATAGACTATGAACAAAAGGATAAATATGAAATAGAAATACAGGCCTCAGATAAAGGTTTGGCTCCTCTTACAGCTGAAAAAAGTGTTCTAATTAAAATAGTTGATATGAACGATAACGCTCCTGAGATTGAAGTTACTTCATTTTCCAGTTTAATTCCTGAAGATTCCAGACCAGGAACTACAGTCGCTCTGATCAGTGTAAATGATCTGGACTCTGGTCTGAATGGAAAAGTTATTTGTTCTATAAATAAGGATGCTCCGTTTACTCTATCACCATCTTTACAGGATAAAATGTTTTCATTAGTCACAACAACTCCTTTAGACAGAGAGAAACAGTCACATTATGATCTGACAATCACTGCACATGATGCAGGTCAGCCTCCATTATCATCTGAAAAAACAATTAGTGTTTTGGTGTCAGATGTGAATGACAACAGTCCAGAGTTTTCATTGAGTCCCTATACATTTTATATTACAGAAGGTAACAGTCCAGGAGCCTCTGTGTTTTCTGTGAAAGCATCTGATCGAGATGAGGGAGATAATGCACTTATTTCATATCATATATTCAGGGAAGCAGATGAGCACAGTAGACTAGCCTCATTTCTAAACATAAACTCTGAAACAGGAGACATTGTGGCGCTGAAGAGTTTTGATTTTGAAACTCTAAAAACTTTTCAGTTCCAAGTTGTGGCCACAGATTCTGGAGCTCCGTCTCTGAGCAGCAACGTGACAGTGAACGTGTTCATTCTGGATCAGAACGACAACGCTCCAGTCATCCTGTATCCAGTCAGCTCCAACGGTTCTGCTGAAGGCGTGGAGGAGATTCCCCGCAACGTGAACGCAGGACACTTGGTGACTAAAGTCAGAGCCTATGATGCTGATATAGGATATAACGGCTGGCTGCTGTTCTCACTGCAGGAAGTCAGTGACCACAGTCTGTTTGGTTTGGACCGCTACACAGGACAGATCAGAACACTTCGCTCATTCACAGAGACAGACGAGGCTGAGCATAAACTGCTCATACTGGTCAAAGACAATGGCAACGTGTCCCTGTCAGCAACAGCTACTGTCATTGTCAAACTGGTGGAGCCCAAAGAGGCTTTTGCAGCTTCTGATGTGAAAAGTGCAGCAAAAGATGAGGAGGACAATAATGTGACTTTTTACCTCATCATCACTCTGGGCTCAGTGTCAGTTCTGTTCCTCATCAGCATCGTCGTGCTGATTGCAATGCAGTGCTCCAAATCCACAGACTATACTTCTAAATATCTGCAGGAGGCTAATTATGATGGGACACTGTGTCACAGCATCCAGTACAGATCTGGAGACAAACGTTACATGTTAGTTGGACCCAGGATGAGTATAGGATCTACTATAGGACCCGGAAGTCATGCAAACACTCTGGTGTTACCTGACAGGAGGAAGACCTCTGAAGAGGTAAGAAGTTTTGATGCAAAAAGTTCCTCATCAGTGACTTGCACATTTTAATGGTTCCCATCCATTTGCTCAGTTCTCCAGAGGTTCATGTTCGGCATTGTTGTATAGAGTTCAGCACTTGTTGGATGAAAATATTTTTAGTTGAATTAATTCCATTCATCCGTCTAATATTTTTATACCAATTTTTGTCACACAAATATTTGCACTGATTGTGTGCCACATAAACAGAGTCCTAAAACATAAGCCTTGCAGTCAAAATAATTTTGGACCAAGATTGGTTGTGCATTATTTTTTTAGAGACATGGGAAAAATAAAATAAAGGAGCACGGCTGTGTGAAAAATGAGGTAGTGTTGCTGTCCATGGTGCTCATATGTTTGCCTGTCTATAAAAGGGTTTATTCTTTGTTTTAGAAAGAAGCAATACATAACAATTTTGAGGCAAGACAGGATGTTGAATCTGTCTTGCACCCTAATAAGTTTTACATTTTTATTCTTTCTTTTATTTTTTGTTAATATTTTGTTTTGGTAATCTACTGAAATTTTAGGTGCAATAGTTCAGACTTTTAGAGCTTCCAGCAAAATGTCAAGTATGCTCCACCTTTTTTAACTTCTTTAGCTAATTTCTCTGGGATCAATAAAGTATATTTGAACAGAATTGAATTGAATATGAAAACAATGTTTCATAATTTGTTCATATTGTCACTCATTTTGTGTTTCTTTTCATGATTGATAAGATACAACTTAAGTTAGCATTACACCATTTTTTCAACAATCTTTTGTTAAGTGTTATGTCTTTTCCAGATAATAATAATGTTAGGATTTTTTGGGGGGTTCTGAATAAATTTATTGGTCATTTACTTACTGATTCTAAAAGCACAACACCATTTTATAGTTTTCCTAGGTAATTAACTATTGTGTGATTATTGTTATGCCTTGGTTAAAATAGTTTTTGCTACTTGCCTGGAGCACCATGACAACACATAGATACCATTGATTTAAACATTAGGAACGTTGATTCTGTTTGATTATCTCTGGTCTCAGACGTAGGTTTGTGGTGGGTAGGTCAGATACTGAAGAGAGATGATAAAACTGGCTGTACTTCCGGGGTTTTGGCAGAACGCTGCTGACGCTGACACTTGAAGCTTTAAAGTGCTGTTCAGAACAAGAACCAGTACTAGAGTGGTTGTATGGTCTATTATTTTCACATTATAATAATGTTAACATTCATCTGCTCTCTGCCTGTTAAGACACGATTTCAGTAAAATAACTCTATTTTTCTTACAGTTCTGCCATCAGATTGTGGCACCTGATGTCTTTGCTCACCATAGTGCCCAAATGTTATTGTTGTTGTGTTATTTATCTATTTATTTATCTTTTTGTTTATCAATATTACTACTATTTAACTTCCACTGCCACCAACCTTACTACTATTTCTACTACTGTATATGAATAAACTAACAATATATTAATAAACTGTGTTTTATGTTCAAATGGATGAACTTCTTTTTGTTTTTGGCAAATATTCACTCAGTTTGATCTTGATGTCTACACTGTCAAAAATGAAATGTTGGATTTACTTAATCATGTTATGTGACCTGGTTCCACTTAACTGAGTTGAGTAAATTCAAAGCAATAAACCAGTTTTTTAGCCAAAGAACATGAATATGTTGCTTTGAATTTACTCAACTCAGTTAAGTGGAACCAGGTCACATACAGTAACATGGTTAAGTAAATCCAACATTTCATTTTTAGAGTGTATAGCATGTTCTAAACACAGATTGGACTGGGATATATTTAGCTTTGCGTTGCATTATGTTTTTTGTAACAACACCTTAAGTTTTAGAGGACATTCCTTTTTGAAGCTTTGTAGGTGGAATGCTTCTCCATTCTTGCTTGATGTACAACCTCGATTGCTCAACAGTCATGGGTCTCTGTTATTGTATTTTGCACTTCATAATTAGATACATTTTAATTAGAAACAGGTCTGGACTGCAGACAGGCCAGTCTATACTGACACTATTTTACTATGAAGCCACACTGTTTTAACAAAAGCAGAATGTGGCTTGGGATTTTCTGGCTGAAATAAGCAGAGGCATCCCTGAAAAACATGTGGCTTGGATGGCAGCATGTTGCGCCAAAACATATACGTACCTTTCAGCATTAAGGCTGCCTTCACCGATGTGCAATTTACCCATGCCATAGGCACTAACACACCCCATATCATCAGAAACAATGATGGCTTTTAAAGTTTGCACTAATTTTTTTAAGTATTTTTTTCCTTTTCGGCCTGGAGGACACCACATTCGTGATTAAAAAAACAAAACAATTTGAAATGTGGACTCATCAGACACTTTTTTTCACTTTGTGTGAGTGCATCAAAGATGAGCTCTGGCCCAGAGAAGCCACCAGAGTTTCTGGGTGTTGTTGATATAAGACATACAGTAGTCTTTGCATGGTAGAATTTTAATTGCACTTGGAGATAAGGTGAGGAAATGTGTTCACTGAAAATGGTTTCCTGAAATGTTTCTGAGTCCATGTGTTAATGTCCATAACGGAATGATGTTGGTTTTAAATGCTGTCCTGCTTGAACAACTGAAAGTCACTGGAATTTATTGTTGGTTTTTAGCCTTGTTGCTTACTTGCAGAGATTTGTCCAGACTCTCAGAAAGATTAGATTATATCACAGACTGTAGACAATGAAATCCCTTAATTATTTACAACTGTTTTTTTTTCTTAAACTGTAGGGCTATTTGATTTTGCTGTTGTGCTTGCTTGTGAAGGACTGAGCCTTTCATGGATTCTCCCTTTATACCTAATCCTGACACGCACCTGTTTCTAATTTATCTCTTGAGAAACACTCTAACAAGATTTTTTGAGTATTCCTCAACTTTCCCATTTTTTGTTGCCTCTTTCCCAACTATTTTTTTAACTGGTTACAGCCATTATATTCCAATTGGGTGAATTTTACAAACAAACAAACAAACAAACAAACAAACAAATAAATAAAT